CAATACGGAGAGAGTTTTGACTTTAATTTAGGAATTATTCTATTTCATTTATTTACAAAAAAAAAAAAATTTCTTGGAAATGAACAACGAACAAATTATTCAACGAATTGACAAAAAATTTCGCTAAAATACAGCAAAATAATGTTCTAGACAATTTCCTAAAACAAATCTTATTCACAGAAACAAAAATTAACTTTTTTTTCCAGGCTGCTCCTAAAACAAACGAAACAAGCAACGTTCAGTCAATAAAACTTAACAAATCAGCTGCGCTATGCACTGACGAACATCATGAGCAAAACAATTTACACAGTGTGCGAAACAAGCTACAAATCAGACTGTAGAAACAGGGAAGAACAATCATCATAAAGCGATTGAGCGAGCAACAAACATTACCAGTGCGCTTAGTATACCTGAAATCAGAAGCAGCGGTGAACCGAACGAAGCTTACTGTTATCCAATGACCTGTGGCCCAGACGCCACACAATAAAAAGGTTAATTATCGGTCAAGCACTTATTTCCTGCGTAACAGAACACCATTCGAGCATTGAACTCAAAGCACACTCGCACTCACAGCAATGGCTGCTCCTTAAACGATACTGGAAGAACTAAGATGGCGGCACGTACTCCAGCACTTTCCTATTTAGTGGATTGCTTGAGAAGCAAGCCACAGGTAGCTTGAGTTCGAGACAAATCAGACATGCTACTACACCTGTCTGCTATCGAAACGAATCAGAGCGTTTCAGATGAGTCGGGTTTTTTTTTTTTTTCGCGACAGCTTTCAAAAAAGAACCATCAGTCCATTTTGTAACAGGAGCAGCACCACAGGTTACCACACCGCAGCATTATTTCTTGTTCTTTGCTTTCTAAATTTTTCATTCTAAAGATCCAATTTGAAAAAAAAGAACCCTCTGTTTCCCCCTACTAATCCATCAAACATTAATTTCTAACTTAAAAGAATAAAAGTTTGCAACTGTTTATCGCATTCACGAGTGAAGAGAACTTGAGTATTTCGAAGAAACTGGCACCACCGATCTACCCTAATAAGGTGCGAGTAGGCGTAGAAGGCAGAGTGGGGCGTCTGGAATAAAAAATATTTACAGTTCAGGATGCCGCAACTGCCTAGTTCAGGAACTTTTGGGACCGTTGTTTTCCGAAGAAAGGAAAGCCTTTTTGCTCGTCCTATAAAACAGGAGATGCGGTTTATTGTGCTAGGAGCCAGCTATGGTGATGCATGTGCTGTTTTCAAGAAACTGTTTTATAAAAACTTTACCCGTAACAGGCAAAGTGACAAGCCACGATAACGATATGTTGCGAAACGTCGACCATTTAACAGAACCACTTGCCTGCACCGTACCCACTGCCACCACACTGCCAACCTGAGACATTTTCAAACTGAACTTTTGCTCAAAAGAAGCTAAAAACCAGCTGTTCACCTGGATGAAACGCAGATCGGAAGCGTGAATTCGCGGCGAAAAAATTCGGCAGTTTTTTATGCGTTTTGTGCTGTGTAACAGCAGTGCAAAACGAATATTGTCACGAAGTTGTCTGTGTGTGTGTCTCCCATTTTGTCCCGCGCTTTCAACTCGGGAACCATAAAAGCTAGGCGGCTGGAATTTTAGTATATTGTTCCCCGCCAACTGGTGACACAGCAAATTTAAATTCTGCCTTCCCGTACTCGTGGGTAACACGTACGGTCTCGTAAATTTTTTCGAGTAAAATCAGTATCTCAGGAACCACGGAAGCTGGGAAACTGAAATTTTATGGGTATGTCTCCTGATCACGTGCGACCCAGAAAACTCATATTCAATCTTCCTGCACCCACGGGTAACACATACAGCACCGTAAAAGTTTTTCGGGTAAAATCATTACCTCGGGAACCACAGAAGCTGGGAAGCTGAAATTTTATGGTATCTCCTCTGCCCACGTGCGATCCAGAGAACTTAAATTCAACCTTCCCGTGCTTGTGAGTAACACGCACGGCCTCGTAAGTTTTTAGCGGCTAAAATCATTACCTTAGGAGCCGCGAAAGCTAGGGAACTGAAATTTTATAGGTGTGCCCCATGGCCACGTGCAACCCAAAAAATTTAAATTCAGTTTTCCCATGCACTTGAGTATCGCGTACGGCCTTGTGAAAGTTTTGGCGGAAAATTATTTTGGGACCCGTGAAAGCTAGAAAGCTGAGATTTCAGGACGATATTTTCTACTGCTACAGGTATCTCACAAACTCAAATATAGCTCTCAAGCATGAAGAGGTCTTAAGTAAGACCATGTGGGAACTGTGATGTGAAAGTCGCTAGCTCGGAAACCGAAAAACTACAAATAGAAATTTGGAGGGATGTTCCTCATCCATTTTTTCAAATTCAGCTTTCACGTGTCGGCACGTGAAATTTTCAGTGAGAAATTCCTCAGTTTAGGAGCCAGACAGCATATTTATTGTTTTTTCATATACGAAAGTGTAAAACAGTTATATTTTTAGCAAGCAAACGTCCACTGGACGGAACTGCACAAAACGCATGATCGCAACGGCTACCCTGGTGCGCTTCGCTATTTATTTTTATGCGTTTTTTGCAGCTATGCAATGCAGAAAACGCATATTGACGAGGGGTTGTATGTGTATCCA